CCTTCCCTTTCTTCCCTTTTCCTTTCCCATTTTACAGATCAATTTGTTTCCATGCACGGAAAAATAAGGGTGGCTAGCATTTATTATTACTGAATAAATAATTGCAATATCACAAGACAGGGAGATAGGGAATTACATGTGGGTTCTTCATAATTTAAATTATTTTTCTTCTCGGATGATAGCAATGAAAGTTGGATTAACCCAGCTAATTAATCATCGATAAATATTTGAATTACCATCTTAACATGTTTAATGATAAAATTATTTGTTTATAATAAGACTAGTCATGGTTTGACGATAATTTTAATTATTAATCATTAAATAAATATTTTAATCAATTTAATGATACCTAACTTTTATTTTCAGTACCTCGTTACATGCAAGCAAGTGAGTAAACACATGAGATTCGCTCCAACAGTATTGCTAGTGTCCTTAATTGATTGATGTCAAGCCAATAGGACGCTTGTTTTTTGCAGTTTTGGTTAAAGCGCCCATTTCCCAATAATTGGGTTAGAGTCAATCACCTCCCACATGTGACCATCGAATCAATTTCATAGAGTTAAGAAAATGGGTTAGTGCCTGTTTAGATAACATTTTAACCGATTATTTGAGGTAAAAAATTAATTTTTGCCAAAATGATTCAAACACCCATAAAATGGGTTAATCGATTTTGGGCAAAAAATCGCTTTTCTTCCGAAGCTGAGAAGCCGAGCATATGTGGAGAAGCCAACCAAAAATGTTGCAGAAAATTATAAAGAAAGGTTCAAGAAAAAATTACAAACAACGCACATAATTTAATAAAAATAAAAATAAATTCTCTTCTCTTTTCTTTTTTTTTAATAAAATTCAAACTTTGTATCCTCAAAAAATTAATATTTAATATTTAAGAATTAAATTATAAAGTAATTTATATAGCTAAAATTGATTTTGATTAAATTATCTAAACATTTTCAATTCCGTTAAAATTAATTTTAGAAAAACAGTATCCAAGCAGATTGCGTTATAACATAATTAATTATGATTAAAATCTATCACTTAATCAATTATTTTCATAATCTATTATACCCAACTGAAATCCAAATAGACCCTTAATCCGATCTTACAAAATCAGTTCTTGATTGACTTAAGCCTAAAAAAGCCAATTCATTTAAGCTAAGTTTCCTTTAGATGGCTTATATCTTAAGCCTGGCTTTAAGTATAACAGATTTAGGGCCAGCTTTGTGAGCTTCAAGCCCTTTTACTTTTTATCATTTTTTTAAATTAAAAATAATTTATTCATTCCATTACAATATAAAATCTTATTTTAATATTAAATCACATAGATAACATGTTAATTTTTAATATCAACAATATCTTGATTATGCAAAAGTTTCCTTATTTCAAATAATAAAATATTGAAATTTATAAATTCTCAACTTAAGTCATACAATACAAAATTATATAAATATAAAAATAATCTATTATTAAAAAATAATTTAAAAATATTAACACACATACGTAACATAAATCAAATCATTGTCTAGAATCTAAATTAGATCAACCAATTAATTTTTTGTCCAAATATATCATTATTTAGAATTAAACAAACCAAACTTTATCCAAAAAAAAATAACCAAACCAAATGTTACGTAAATTTTAATTCTAAAAAAACTATTATAATAATTAAATATTTAAAGCATTATCAAAAATATCAATAATATTATCATAATAAATAATATTTTAAAATATAAATAAATAAATGGGCTTAAATGGGTTGGCCCTCGACCTTACAGGGCTAGCTCGTTTAGGCTCTCAATCCATTAAAATTAGCCTTTATAAGCTCGCGTTCTATTTTTGAAACTTTAAAACTCAAGCTCGTCTCTAGTAATTATCGAGCTTAAAAGGATTGGCCCTATAAGTTCGACCTATTTTTTTAGCTCTACAATTCCTCAACATACTTCTATTTATAGCATATTATATAATATATAATTATTTTTAGGTAACTTTTTTCCCAGCAATTCTCAAATGCCTATTAAACTAAATTAATTTAAATTTTAAACCTACCTCTATTTTTATTTTATGGTTCACTTTATTTGCTAATTTTCACAACACGTGTTAGTCAATATATGGCATGTGGTTGGTTTTAATAATAATGAGTGAGGTGATTAAGAGATAATTTGAATCAAGTTCAATTGGTCAATTTGAATAAACTCAAAAAAAAAATTTAGAATCCAGGCCACGAGTTTGAAAATTTTTTTTTACTTTAAATTATTTGAGTAATCAAAACAAGCTCAAACTTGGAAAAGATTGACTCAAATACTCAAATTTTTTTTATTAATTTAATAAAATTAATATTTATTTCAATCTTCACTTTGTATTTGCAAACTCTTTGTTCACACACCTCGCACTTTTAAATGAAATGTCAACGTTTCAATGGCAATTTGTTTGAAATTCTTTTCAATTTTTTTTTAAAGAATAAACATGAGATGGTGCTTTTTATATACTTTTATTTTCATTCTTCACATTAGTTAGTCCCAAAAAAAAAATGATGTGTTATTGCTCGACGAATATTGTTTTTATGATGTAAAAATTGAAATTGATTAGAAAATAAAAAAACATAAAAATATAATAATTTGAGTATTTGTGCCGATCTAATATATTGAGCTTGCTATATAAATTTTTTTATGTGTTTGGATATCTTAAGCCTAATCTAGATTCAACCTAACTTATTTGAATCATTGTACATTGTAAATACTCCTCTATCAAAAAATGTAATGGTTGGATGTTAAAAAATGTGAGTTTTAAGGTAAAATTAATGTGCCTTTTTCAAAAAAATTTCTCAATAGATGAATTACTTTATATTTGTCATTAAGTTAAACACTTTATCAAATAAGAGTAAAATATAGAAAGATATTGTTAATTTAAAAAAATTAATTAATTTACCGAAGATGAGACATTTTTAAATGTAAGGAGTGCTCTAATTCAATTTAGGAAAAATATAATCATTAGTCCCTATAATTATTTCATTGTGTTTTATTTTTAGTCTTTATAATTACAATTATTATTATTTTTGGTCCCTTGGCAAGATTGAGTCTTAACAATATTAAACTACAGGGACTATAAAAAGAATTAAAAATAAAATTCAATAAAATTATAAAGACTAATGGTTATCTTTTTCCTTTGGTCCACATGTGTTCTTGTTTTCAAAGCCCTTGTGCCTTTTGTGTGCAGTGTGGATTTGTCTCGCACTCTTTGTGTGTTTAGTTTCTAGTTTTTTAAAAATCTATTTATTGAAAGTTTATTTGATAAAAGTTAGTTTAGTAAAAGCTAGTTTTTATAATAAAATTTGTGTTTATATATATATTTTTCAAAAGTTAGTTTAATAAATTGAAAGTTGTTTAGATTATATATAGTGAAATGTGTTTTTGAATGTACAATTATAAAAAATGATACTATTAATTTATGATGATTTATAATTTTTGTTATACAAATATAATATATTAGAAATTTTTAAAAAATGTGATAAATTTGTTGGATAACAAAAAATTTGATATGTTAAATAATGACAGCAAAAAATATAAAGTTTGATATATTGAAAAAAATTACATACTAAATAGTTTAACATACATTAATATCAAAAATTAACATGATTAATTATTTAATTCATAATGTATAACTTGGTTTCTAATTGAATCGCAAACTCTATTCATCTTTCCATCAAAAGCCACTATTGAAATATCAATTGTAAAATGAAAATAATCATACAAAAATGATCCTAGGAGTAAAAAATATAAAGATTTTTTTTTGTGACAAAAATATAAAGAAAGATTAAAAGTAGAATAGTCATTAAAAATTTTGAGGTAACATGGTCATATCAAAAATTAAAGGGATTACATTTTAAAAATACATTGCATAAGCTTCTCCTATAACTTTCACCAAATTCATACTCAACAACATTGAGAAAGTACTTTTGAAAAGTTAATTTGAAGTGAAATGTGATATTCAAATGACAGATGAAAGTTTGATGCACCTACTCTGTGATTGTACCTATGTCAAAAGAAAACAGCTTAATTTTGTTTAACCTGAGTTTTGAGACAAGTTTTGTCATTTAGAGGGTTAGGAGTGGGTGAAGTGAAGTCTCAACAGAGAATGGGGTAGACTCAATTTTAGGCCCATTCGCTAGAGTTCTATTTCTTCTTATGTTTGTCGGGATATGTAAGTTAATAAATGCAAAAGAATATTTGGAGAGGAAGAAATTGATGGGGGGAAAGCACATATGATGTTTGTTTCAAGGCGCTACTTGATCTTAGATTGAAGCAAAGCATGACACTGTAAAGGAAAAGCAATTGTTCACAAAGCCATCGCCGCCACCAAGATGAGGAGTCTTTCACTGTGGGAATGGATGTATCTTGGGTACAAGAGAAAGGAAGTGCAATTGGTGGAGTTATCAAACAGCAAAATGGAAGATGACTCTTGGGTTTTTGTTCAAAGGTTGAATCTTTACCACCAACCATTATAGAGGTGAAAGCCATTACTATGGGTTTACATTATAGTCGGAAGCTTTTAATTACGAAAGTTAATGTAATCTAAAATTGTGCAAATGTGATAAGCATGACTCTGGAGGACTCTCTACAAAACCACCTCTATTGGGATATTATATAGGAAGCTAGATTGATTTTAGGAAGAAATTGGTTTGTAAATATTATTTACATATTTAAGGACTTTGTAAAACATGTTGATACATTACTAAAGTTTGCCCTAACATTTATCACGAATGATCATTTTTTTAACCATCATTCTCTTTTTATTTGAGAAGAGGAGGAAGGGGAGAGAAATGACTTATTAGATATATTTTGATCTTATTTTCTCAATATTATGAATGAATTATTTTTTATTCAAAAGGGAGAAAGCACTCTGTAAAAGTAAGATGTGGGATATTCAAACGGAGTCTCCAAAGTTAACTTGGAATATGATTAAGACGGAGGGATGGTCACCAGTAAAATCCTAGAAAATCTGATGCATGGAAAATTGGAAGAATCGGATTCCAATTCCATCGTGGCAGAATCGGATTCCATCACACCGAAGGAATCCCATTTTGTGCTTCCCTCTCCATTTTGCACCTTCTATTTTACCTCATCCTCCACTCCACCGACCAGTCCAGCATCGACTTCACAAGTCACCATCGCTGGTGACAGCCCACCTCCTTCTTCTAGATCTCTACGACCACCACCCACCGAGGAGGACGAAGCTTTATATTTGTCGCGCTTCTCACCTCCGTCACTGGTTCGGCAAATATAATTAAGGTTGTTCACCGTTGAGCTTCTTCTAGGGTTTCTGTTCTGTTTTCCTCCTTGATCTGGCTGCACCCATTCCCCCCCTCTCGTTTCCGTGATCTCGTTGTGATTTTCAGATCAGCTACTGCAGATGATTTATGTTGATAGGTGTTGCAATTTCCTTTTGGATTGTTCTTTTTATTTTAAGTGCCCTTGAAATGTGTTTGATGAAATGGCTTGGATGTTCAGGCAAAACGATATTTATCAGTTGATGGAGTTAACTCTCGGGGTAGATGACGCAGCTTTCTGGGTTTACAGAGGCGAAGGAGCTGAAAATCTTGTTCTAGCTTACACTGGATTTTCTCCTGCTTTTGTGCGTTTCAACCCTCTCTCTTTCTCCCCCCTCCACCCTCTCCCCCTTTAATGTCACACTGAATGTGAATCAACAATGTTGTGGAGATAAGTCCTTTGTAATTTTTTTTTTCAATTGTTAATACTACGAAACATTGAACGTTCTTAATATGCTTGTGCCATGCACTTATTTTTAGTAACTTTTCCCCCTCTCATCGGCTTTTCTGGGTTGTCTACGTAGATTGGGAAAGTGATGCGTATAAGTAAGGCCCCAAAGAGTGGCTCACAGGTGGTAAACAGTCCTGCGGCTTTGACTGAACATGAACGTCTCCTGTGGAAAGATATAGACGAACTTGTATCTTCAAGCAAAGAAGCTGTAGGGAAGCTATTTGTCCAGCACGTTATGAAGCCATTATTAGGGCCCCAATACGTTGATGCTGGGGTATGGTGCTTTTACGTTAATTACTTCTTGACTTGACGTTAATTTTGAATTCACATGCTTCTAAAACTGATTAGTTCTATGATAATAATTATCTGCTTACTTTGAGGCTATAAACTCTGATTCCAGTAAATAACCTGCGCATGCGTTTTTACATTTTGAGTAAGCTGAATCGTGATATGTGAGAAACTTAGCCTCTATATAACTTTATGGACCAATCCATATTATGGCGTTGCCTCTTGTTTCACTAGTTTTTCTATTAATAAAAAAAAATGGATTTAGTAAAAATTAACTTCTCAGGAACCAAAAAAAAATCCTGCTCTAGTTTTAGGGACAGTGCCATTACTTGGACTGTTGGACCTTTGTGAAAGTATTTGTGATCTCTGACCTCTACTTCTTTGATACTTTTTTAGATGAATGTCCTAGTGTCCAGAGAATTCCTTGGAACTGTTGAGAAGAATTTCACATGTCAGCGTCCAGCTTTTCGAGTTGACACTGCCCAAATAGATATGCATTCTGATTCTGTGCTTCTCATGTCTGATCATTCACTCTTCCCTCATGGTACTGAGATGCGTTGTTTACGCTGGTTTCAATTTTTTTTTTTTTAATCTTTCTTGCAAATTAAGCATGTTAGGTATTAGCATGTTCAAATCTTGTTGAAATCTGGTTTTTGAGCTTCACCCAAAATGGGCTTTCAATAGTGATCCCTAAACGTCTCAAATTCATTGTAGAGGGGATTGGACCTTGATAAAAATACCTACAACTTTAAATTTGTGCTTCCATTTGAGAAATAATTGCTGTTTTTCCTTGCGTTTGTAACCTGTGACCTATGCTGAGGAATTACCTATCTAGGGAGCTGGCAAGTGGGAGAACCTGGGACAAACATTATTATAGACAAGAATTCTAGGGAGGTTAATTATAACTCCAAGGAATCCACAATTTTCTCCCCGGTGGGTGGGCCTTTCATTTTAGACACAATCCATGGTAGTGTGAATTTTGTAACAAACGGGTATTTTAATTCTTTAAAGTTCAAACACTGCATAGAATTGCTAAACTTTAGAATGTTCTATGGTAAGTGCTTTCTTTCATTTCAGGTAGCCTAGAAGCTAGCCCTTGCATATCTGTTGAAATAAAGGTATTTCCTCCTTTATATCACGCAATATATTGTTTTTTGGTAATGTGTATCTTTTTTCCATCTGTAACGTAAGCTCTATATTGATGATCTCACCTGCTCCCCCCTTCTCCCTCTCTTGCATGGCTGTAAAATTTTAACTACTGTCGTGAGAAAGCAGCCCAAATGTGGATTCCTTCCTCTTTCGAGATTCATATCAGATGAAACAGCTATCAAAAAGAGTGTAACTCGATTCAAAATGCACCAATCCCTTAAATTACATCAAGGAGCGGTAAACCCCTCAACTAACTAACTCCAGTAGCTGCTTGGTGCACGCCTCTTTCTGTTTTAACTCTTTGTATCAATTTGCTTGGGCATTAATTCTGACTAGGAGATTTTACCAATGTATTTTGTAGATATCAGAGCTAAGTCAATATAATCCTCTTGATTTGTTCTCTGGGTCCAAGGAAAGGATTGAAAAAGCTATCAAGGATCTCTTTACTACCCCTCAAAATAATTTTCGTGTATTTTTGAATGGCTCTCTCATATTTGGAGGCCTAGGAGGTGGTGCACCGACAACAAACTTTCTAGTTGCAAAAACATTTGAAGATGCACTAAAAACTGTGATTGAAGCAGAAGATGGTCTATACACTGAGAAGTTTTTATATCTAGTTGCTGAGAGCGTGCACAAATCAGGTGTCCTTGATCAGCTCCTGAAGATTCAGAAACTTGATAATCTTGACATAGAGGGGGCGATCCATGCATATTATAATGTCACTTCTCAACAATGCATGGTATGTAGGGAATTGAGTGAACAACAGTTAAACAGATATGCCTCTTTGCATTCTGCTTCCCTGGAGGAAAGCTTGAGAACTGTAAAGAACTACCTGATTGCTACAACTGCAAAGGACTGCAGTTTAATTATTTGTTTTAGACCAAGGAAAGAGAGGTATTCAGGATCTGTATACAATCAAGTACATGTTGAGTCAACTAAGCAAACTTTTGATTTCAAGGTGTGGAAACACTGCGCATTTGTTGTTCTTGCATTAATTTTTGAACCTAGTATGTGTTCACAGATTTAATTTATGAATAGCCAGGATAGGCATTACTGCTAGGGAAAAAAATGCTCAAGCCCCCATAGATCTGAACGAGTTTTCCATTCCTCTCATGATAGTAATTGCAATGATGTCCTTTGTTGAAGAGATCTATATATATCATGGCATGCGATCCATAGATATCCTTTTTTCAGTGATTTTTTCTGAATTATCTTCTCTTTTAACTCTGAGTCAGTAGAATGTCATTACCTTCTTTCGCACAGATTTACACTGTATTTGCTGAAACATTGATTATCTTACTTTAGTTGCCATTTGATCTGTTGTAGGTATCTTTTATTGACCTGGATTTGAAGCCTTTGGATAAAATGGAATATTATTACAAATTAGACAAGAAGATTGTGAGCTTCTACAGACAAATGGTTGAAATGAATCAAGGAAAAGCAAACTTTGCAGACACGTGAAACTCCAAATTGAGATTCTTTAGGCTGTTATAGATGACACCTGATGAAGATTGTATTGGTAAGTATAGTAGCTTGATTCTTTAGCAAAAAACTAATACATACAGGCGTGATAATGCTAACTGTTTGCATTTTGCTTTCCTCCCTCCCTCCCTCCCTCTCATAATTTCCTTATGTTGGGCCATCTGATTCCCCTTGCCTATGTAATTGTTTCTATCTGTATTACGGCTTTTATTAGTTTCTAGCTTTGGCTTGTGTAAGTATACGTTTTGTTGTACATGCGCTAAAACTTACCTCCATAATTAAAGGCCATTTCTTAATGAGGTAATTGTAGAGGTGAAACATGTTAGATGCATGTGAGTTGATAAATGCCTCTGATCATGACTTCGTTGTCTATGCATGCCTAATGGAAAGATAAGGAATTCCAGCTTTTGGTGAGAGTGATGACTCATCTTTTTTTCCCCCCCTGAATGGAAAATGGATTAATATATTAGGGAAAGGAACAATCTACGAGACAAGCCAAAAGAGAAACAGGAAAACGACTAAAACCTTTCACAATCTACGCTCTCCTGGAAAAGTGGGGGTTGATTATGAAAGGCTCCAAAAGAATCAGAACAAAGCTGCCTAATCTAATCAAGTTCATGACAAAACTACTATTAACAGAGCTTGAGAAATTCAAGAAGACAATCCAGTCACGTAAGAGTAAGTTCCTCGCTTGACGAAGAAGTGTGTCCGCATGACTATTGGATGAAAAATCCCTGGTTAGAAAATTGAAAATATAAGCACCATGTAAGTCAACTACAATATTCTTGAAGCCTTTTATTCCAGCAATGAAGCCGCCTGTGAACCACAGCTTGGATTGCAGCAAACACCAGTATCTTATCTTTAGTACTATTTTGTCCCATACATACATGGCTTGTTTATTGATAAATCTGGAATTAATTTTCTCAGTGGTTGATGGGAGGCAGGGATGAGTTGAAATTCAAAATTTAATACCTTTGATTTATTACAGGGCACGGAAGGACCAATGATCAATCTAAAATTAAGAGGATGAAAGAAGTTATAAATTTATTAATTAAAGATGTTTTATATGATTAAGAAGTCTTAAAGACAAATGGGGTTATAAAAAATTTAAGAAAGATTTTTAATATATTGAGCCTAACTCAAGATATCTAAACTTATAAGTTCAATTAATTTAGTTAATATTATTTTCTAAAAATTTAGGAGATCAGTTTATCTTGTTTTAAATTTAAATAAAGATATAATATATCTTTTATGATATAATCTAGCCATTTGGAATCCTAAATTAACTAAGATTGTGTCATTTAGGTGGATTGATTTTTTTTTTTTCATTTGTTAGGCTATTTAAATCAGTGTTGTTTTTTGCAAAATAAAATATCATGAATTTCGAGTTATCATGAGTTATCAATTGGTGTCTCGTATCAGGGTGATGTTAAAATGAAATTTTAGTTTCTTGGGGTTCAATTATGTTATTTTTTTAGGCAATTGTTGAATATCTCTTTCATAATGCTCTTGGTAGCTGTGACTGAATTTAGTGTTGTTTGCTAGCCTTTACTTATCTTTTGTCTCTCACTGTAGGATGACGAGCAGTTTTTGGTGACAGTTTTTGTTAAATAAATATTTTTCTTCAGGGGCGAGATTTGAGAATTTATTAAATTACAATCACAATTACCATTCTTGCTCCAACAATAATCGAGATTGCATGGGAAATCCGGTCATAAATACTAACGTGCATTAATGACCAGGTACCTACCACACTGTCGCATCATTTAGTATTCAACCAAAAAATTGAAGAAGGGATGCCGTAGAATTTTGAAGATGATATTTAGGGAAAATCGAGATGATAATTTTTGAGACAGCAAGACTTGTGTCTTCCCAGTTTCTTGCTTTGTTCTTGCCTAGTAATTACGGACTCTCAAAATCATGTCTAAGGTTGCATGTTTTATTAGCTCCGCACGCTACTTCCACATGATAGCCTGGTTTTGTCGTGAAATAAGTATCATGACTTACTTTTTCCGGATCTATTCTCTACTCTGACATGACGCAGCTATTTTTATGTAGATTGTACCTTTTGGTACAGAATTTCTCAGCACTTTTGTTGGGAAATGCTGACATTCTGACGCACTTGTTTATTGCAGAAGACGGTGGTGTCAGTAGAACTTATCTGTTCAAGATGCAGGCAGAAGGTGATGAAATTAATTGCAGCCATTGAAGGAGTTACTTCGATAGTGCTGGATCCGGCCAAAAACACAGTGACAGTGATTGGGGAAGCTGATCCCGTGAGGATCATCAAGAATGTGAGAAAATTCAGGAAATCAGCCGCAATCGTGAGCATTGGTCCTTCCAAAGAAGAGAAGAAGGAAGAAAAGAAAGAGGAGAAAAAGGGCACCACCGAGGCTCCGAAACCGTGCCACAGATGCAGTGTATGGTATGTGATTCCTGAAGATAATTATAGTTACTGTTCCATCATGTGATTGCTCTTACTGAGGTGCTGGTGGTGCGATTATTAAATTTTCTAAACAAGATCGAATTCGTTGAATTTTTTGTTTTTGTTTTTGTGTCAATTTAATATTATGGACTAATTGATTCAAATTAAAGTACTCTCATGCCTAATGGAGATGGATCTTAAGCAGTGGAAGGCTTTCCTCTCCTCCCCCCGTTTTTTAACTTGCTGAATCCGCATTGTTTGCAGGTAATAACAGTAAATTTTTTTGGCACAAGTCGATGATGTACAAAGAAATCAAATGGTCATGATTTAAATTATTAGAATATATTATAAAGGTTTTTAATATAGTGTGTCTCGAAATCTGAGTTAAAAAATAACGAAATTATAAAAAATAATTAAAATTAATATCTGATCCAAATATTGAGGTGACAAAAAATAAAATAGAACATAATGATTTAGAAATTAATGGAATATTTTATTCAGTCATCCCTACAATCTAGAGTTAATTTATAAATCTGAGAGTTTTGGCCAAAAAAAATGAAAATAAAAATATGAGAAGTCAATAATTAAATACCTTGTAATTAGAAAAAATACAGGCTGATCTTCTTCATAGCCCACGAGGATTCTAGAATTATTCCGCTTTCCCATTCTCGCCAGGCGTAGAAAAACTAAGACCCCACTAAACCCCTTAAACCACTTTTGCTAATTGCTGGCTGGGAAACATGTGTTCGCCATCGCCGGAGATAATCACTTCCACAACATCCGTTCTCTCTGTTGCCGCCTCCCTTGCCGCTTCCGCGGTTCTCCTCCGTTCCACCGCGAACGATCTCATTCCGGATGGGATCTATCACAGCTTTCGGAAGCTATTGGACCGACTCTCGTTTCAGTTAACCGTCGTCGTTGAAGAATTCGACGGTCTCGCTGCCAACCAAATGTTTGAGTCTGCCAACACATACTTAGGCACCAAGCTAACACCCTCCTCCCAAAAAATCAAGGTTCACAAGCCTGTGAAGGAAGACCATTTAACCGTGTCCATGGACAGGAACCAGGAATTCTACGATTCATACGACGGCGTGACATTCAAATGGATTCTGATCTCTACGCGCAACGACAATCCTGTCTCAAACATCAAGCGTGGGCGCGATCACTCTGCAATTGATCGATCTGAAATTCGTCAATTTGAACTCTCTTTTCATAAGAAGCACAGGGACATGGTTCTGAGCTCTTACTTACCATACATTCTGCGAAAGGCAAAAGCGATTAGGGAAGAGAAGAAGACGTTGAAGCTCCATACCATTGATTACAATGGCACCGACTACTGGAATTCCATCAGTCTCAATCACCCAGCCACATTTGATTCCATCGCCATGGAACCTGAGATGAAAAAGGAACTGTTAGAAGATCTTCATTTATTCATTGGGAGGAAAGAGTATTACAGAAGAGTAGGGAAGGCTTGGAAGCGCGGGTACTTACTGTATGGGCCCCCAGGTACAGGAAAGTCGAGCTTGATTGCCGCCATGGCCAATCATCTCAAATTTGATATTTATGACTTGGATTTGAGGGAGGTGCAGTGCAACTCCGATCTCAGAAGGTTACTAATCGGCACCGGAAGTCGTTCAATACTAGTGATCGAAGACATTGATTGCTCTATAGAACTGCAGAATCGGGAAACAGATGATAAAAGCACAAATGCAGAAGATGAGAAGGTAGCTTGATTCCCATTGCTCTGTTTGAACATCAATTAACGACTGCTTATATCCAAACAATGTTTAATTGCAATCTTTGTGCGAAGGTTACACTGTCGGGGCTGTTAAACTTCATAGATGGATTGTGGTCGAGCTGTGGAGATGAACGAATAGTGATATGTACGACGAATCATAAGGATCGCCTTGATCCAGCATTGTTGAGACCTGGTCGGATGGATGTGCACATTCACATGTGCTATTGCTCTTTCAGTGGTTTCAAGATATTAGCAGCCAACTACCTGCAAATTGAGAAACACGCACTATTTGACGACATAGAGGAGCTATTGCAGAAGGTTGAGGTAACACCTGCTCAAGTTGCAGGAGAGTTGATGAAAAGTGCTGATGCAGACAATGCCCTCAAAGGGCTTATCAATTTCCTTCGTGGCAAGCTTCCCTAGACCCCACAGTAATGTTGAGGTGAGCGTGCGAGTACGACAACATGACAGTATTCTACTTGTGTTAGATCAAGTTACAGCCCTACCTCCATTCTGGATTCGCTTTATAGAAAACTGGAACACGTGCATTCTTTTGGATGGCATATTTCAAATTATTGGGAGTCTTTAGATTATTTTTTTCAAGGCAGAAATTTAAGATTAAAAAAGGTACAGCTTTCAGAACAAAATCACAATTTTTCAAATGCTTTTCTCAGAAGCTTAAATTTTAACTTTTTAAAGAACCTCTAATCCCTTTTTCCCCCACGAAGAAAAGGGGGAGGGGGGATCCAGAACATCTACGGTGAATGAAAGGAGGTTACCAAAAAGATTCAACCTCGAGGATTAAAGGTACTATTTCTATGGCTAGCTTTATTAGTTTTGTGTATTATCCTCTCTTAACATAAAAGGTGTATACAATAAATGGTTTTGATTTCATGTTGAAAATTATTAAAATTATAGATTGTGATTTAGAACTTGACCTCTGAATTTTTTTGTTTACTACGCAGCACATAACTTGTTTAATTTGTCAGGTGTGTTGTGAGAATCCAAATTGGAAGAATATTCCCTGGGATAATAAGCAAACCAGATTCTAGAAACAAAAGGAATCTGGATGGGTGTATATTATCAATGAAAATATAAGCGTAGGTTGATATAGCTTGATCATATTTTCTTTTGTTGTTCTTGGTTTCTCAAATTTTATCTGTCTTCGACATTAATCCTTACGAATAAAATAGAATGAGACTTATAATGATGAGGAGGAGGGGAAAAAAAGAAGAAACGCGATAAAATAAGAACTCTTTGAACAGGGGTGAAAGAGATTAAGCAAGCAAAAGATGTCTCTAAGGATTAGGACATTAGGTTACAAGTGACCCCAGCTAACTTGGATGTTGAATTACACTTTCAAACAGATAGACAAGGACATTGCTGGAATAGTCTACGTCGAAAGCTACAAGCAAACTGGCCGTGTGAAGGGGTTTTGGAACTTAAGATGAAAGTATCTAAAAGGCTTAGTGTATTATTATTTATATATCTTCATATCATTTTTCTAATTTTTTGAACTGAAAAATCAAATATTAAATTTTTATAATTAAATAATTTTAATATTTCGTTTTCAATGAATATTTTAATCTATTTTGTCACATGGTTGTTTTTAAATAAGATTTAAGTAATTTTAATTTTAGAAAACTTTTTTCAACAGTAATAACTGTTACTAACATTGTCAATAATATTTTATAATAATAAAAAATAATGACTAATTATATAAGATATGTAATTAACATTAATGCTTAACAAGAAAAATAACAACAAATTATATAGGGTATAAGTGGACGACTTTTGAGGCCTGAGGCTGCCACCTTATTGGCCTAACATGAGTCACGCCCTGCTAACGGCTTTCCATTCACCCAAGACAAATTTCCTCGAAGGGGACTAACTAACTAACGCAGTGTTTTCAGCTCATCCTATTTTCATCATGTGCATAAGAATTAATAGAATCATGTACATGTTAGCTAAGTTGATTCCAGTAGTGCTAGCTCATGGTCCTTGTAAGTATTTTTAAAACATATAAGGACTGACATCGCAAATAAATTAAAATCAAGGGATTACAGGCAGTGAATAAAACTGTAAGAACTAATAACAAAATACTACAAAAAGTTGTATTTTTCTTTTTATAATGAAACGTCAAATTAATTAAATGTTTAAATATTTTAATTTTTTTTATCTTACAATATACTCCCTCTATTTTTATTTATAGAAGAAATAATTATTTTTAATTTTTTTATATAAGCAAAATCATATTTTTTAATAGACATTTATCATAAATTTTTTAAATTACCCATCATAATTTAATCATTTATAATCATAAAAAATAATCAATAAAAACTTGATTAGCATAATTAATAAAAGATTATAATTTAATTCTTCTATTTGTAAATATAATTAATATACTTAATTAATTTTTTAAAACAATACGATACATTTTTTTTTTCAACAAATAGAAACAGAAGTACAATAGTTCGTACTATTCATAAAGGCAGCGTGTTGCCCCCGAAATAATAAGATACATAGCTTATTTCAAATTCCATAAAACAGTCTAGTTAAAATTTTGCCCTAAATACATGTACATCAATTTTCACAGTAAATTTTTTCGGTACCCGGAAACTGTTCCGAGCCACAATTATTACAGACGTTTCAATCCATCCTTTTCAAGTTTTTACCCACTCCTTCACCTGAAGTGGCAGAAGCCATATAATTGGTAAATAGAAGACGGAGGGGAAGAAGCTGCAGCCCACGCTAATTGTATGCGCGGCCGACAATGGATATTAAGATTGATCTGTCTGACATTCGAAGGCACAAACGCCGTTTTATGCTCATGAACGACATCCATCTTAAAAGTCAGACATTCGAGAACCAACTTTGAAAAGAAAACGAGCAAAGCAAAAGCAGACATCTCACTGAGGTCCTGCCTTTTCAGTAATCTCCTCACCAGCAACCCTTCTTTCCCAGCTTTACAAACAGATTGGGCACCCTTCAGAGTTCACTCCCGCAATGACGATAAAGTATGAACATTTAAGTTTTTTTTTTTTTAAATATAACCATTAATTCCCATACTTTCATTAAATTTTACTTTCAATCTATATAGTTTTTTTTTAATATTTTCAGTCCTTATAATTTCAGAAAGATTAAGTAATGTTTATTTTTAAAATCTCTATAGTTTTAATTTTTTTTCAGTATTTTTAGTTTTTATAAAGGCCGAAAACATTGAAAAAAATTATAAAGATTAAAAATAAAATTTAATAAAACTATAAAGATAAAAAATTATGTTTTCTCTTCAAGAAATAAAGTATGACTCAGATGAAAATATCTTCGACTTACATTGAATTTGGAATTTTCCCGACTGTGTATATATGCCAGAAGTTCTTCTTGTCTTGTTAAAGCTTCATACAAAGCCTGCTTGAGAATAGGAATACACTTGTTTAAATATGCGCAGCAAAAATTTGACCTGAAAGAAATAAATGTGTGCGTGCGCGTGCCTGTGCCATAAAATGCGCACACACCCCAAAAATAAATAAATAGTCTACACTATTCAAATTAAGTTTATGAACAGTGAGGGGAGTGGAATACAATTGTCTCGAAAATAAAAGGAAAATTGCGTTGACAATTTGTGTTGGGTTGTCCAAGCATAAATAAATTCAAATCAATGTGAAAAATCTTATATTAAATAAAATTAAATATAATAATTAATATATAATAAAATAAAAAGATCTATAAATTTAAACTTTAATGTTCTGAGTTTAGAAGCAATATATTTATGTGACTCTTTGTATATTTATTCCCTCCTCCCGTTGCCAAAGAAATAGATTCTCATTTTTTATAAGTGATATCAAAACCAAATTACTTTCTAACGTTTCATTCCTAATAAGTTTAAATTATTCGTATAAAAGAATCAAGGTCTTTACTTTATCTTTTATTCGCTTGAAGGATTTGGGTCATTTTCTCAAATTTTAGCTCAATGTGCTTTTTCCCAATTTCTCCAATCAATTACTGACCACAAAAAAAAACAGCTCTAAACTCTGAAGTTCCCCTATGGCTATAGTCAAACAATAGTTCATATTATTTCCTGACCTCTTTAAACACTGGATATAAAGCAAAGACTACAAGAGTAAATACCAAAGAGCAAACAGAGGGCAAGGATCTCGCTCCTTGGGCAGGAGCCCACCCACGATGCGTTGGCCATTGAATTGATAAGGAGAATTATATTCAAGAGTCCTCTCAATATTATTTACAGTTAAGAACCCTGTAATTTTAAAATTTTAAAAAAGGATTTTAGCCCTTGACTAATTTAATTTTTTTTTTATATTTTCAATACTCAAAATGTGAAAAACAAGTACTAAAAATGTTAATTTTTTTTAATAGAGTTCAATCTTTTTCATAAAGAATAAAAATGAGTATAAGTGCTGAAAAAGTCAATAAAAAAATTATTTCAAATTAAGGACCATGGTTTTTTTAATTTCATATTTTTAAAATCCTTAACTGCAATTAAAAGATATTTAAATGTCATTTTGCCTTGATACTATCTACAGCAAAAGTAGTTGTGGGTCAAGTACGCAAGCTCAACTACAATTTGCCCCGTGAAAACATTAACATATTGTATATTAATATAATGACTTTTTCAATTTGTTAAGTAGAATCTTTAGCCTATACTTTTTTTCTATTTATTTAGTATTAGTTACTTATTACATATTATGTTATTATTTAGGATGATTATAACATTTACAGTATGCAAATACAATTATATAATAACTTTGTATATTCTAATATATAAGAGAATACACATGTGAAAGAAATAGCTCTCTCTTTTAATAATGGAAAAGGTCCCAGCTAAAAATTGTAAATTTAACAAAAAAATAAAATGGAACAATATAAATTTCAACAACTAGTTTGGTATATTAAAAAAGTTTTAGATGTTTAAGAAAATAAAATTTATATCTTATTGATGTGAATTCTGTTTGTGTGACACTATGACATTTAATTGATTGCCTCTTATCTTACATGCTCCAAATCATTATTATATAAAATTTTATAAAATGAAAAAACGTTTAGAAAAACAGAGTTACCCAAATGATGACAATTAGCTAACAAAAGATGTCAGACGGCATGTAATGCTATGAGGACATTAATCCTCTACTTCGTTTACAAGAAAGAGAAGGGAAGAAAGAGAGATTTTATGTTTGATTTTAAAAATCTATACAAATAGGATTATAACATTTTAATAGAGAAAAATGTAGGAGGAAAAAATAAGAAAAATCAATTAACAACTTTCAACCATGTTTTTCCATTTTTTAAAAACAAACTCATCAAAATATAAACAGTATAGTAAAATGATGCCAAACAAAAAAAAAAAGATAACCATCCTCTTTGATTTGTTAACTTCATGCATATTTAATTTTAACCATGCGTAAAAAAAAATTTAAAATAAAATTAAGATTTTAAAATATGATTTAAAAAGAATTTTAAAATGTTAATATTTTTTAACAAAATTGATTTTTTTTAAAAAGTACAATCATTGTTTACTCTATATCTACAGTAACACTTTTTTTTACTGTACATGTACAATAAACAATGATTATACTTTACGATGCTATTAGATAGATTAGATTAGATAAAAGATAGATTAGATAGATGTTTAATGTATAAAGAAATAATCAACATGGTTTCAGATGAAGTATGGTTACCTTCTTCGTAGCAATCAGCTCAGCTTCCAGTGCATCCACTCGATAAACTGCGGCATTCAGCAGCTCCTCTTTCTCGTATGGCATCTGGTTAGGTTTTGACTGTAGCATGTCAACTTTCAATTCAAGTTCGCGCAGCCTCTCTAAGGATGATGAGAGGTCTGCCTTTGTGAACCCTCCGGCAGGTGGAGAAGGACAAGGTTCCTCCTTGGACCTAGATTCAACCGTTACGATAGGGAAATTTTGGGCAGAAACAGATATGGATCTCCGACTTTTGCTTTCCTTGGTTCCACGAAATGCTAGGGAACATATAACGTTTAATAGGGCAACAAACGAGCCCATTATATCAGCCCAGATATAAGCACCAATTCCGCAAGCAGATTTTTCTGTATGAAGCGAAGGTGTATCCGCAATAAATTAAGAACACGTTACAATCAACATTT